AGCCAGGGCAGAAGGACCAAAAAACAAAGACCCCAGGGTCCAAGGACATACCCATTGAAGGCAGTTAACTGTCCCCTCTGCAGGGTCTCCAGGCTCTTCAATGGCCGTCCACACCTCTTTGGCATCCTTTGAAAAGGCCAAACAGAGCCAGGGGCCTCTCCCAGGGGACACAGACACAGTCCGAACATGTCCTCAGTCAATGCATCCTCATTTCCTCCCTCTCCCTTCCCTAGGCTCAGCCCGACCCACCCCTGAGGAGAGCGTTGGCAGCTGGAGCTGGGAATGAGGTGCCTAGCCAAGAACAACAGAGGCGTTGCCTGGCTGCCTGGGTGCTGGGCAGAGGCTCTCCTGGTCTAACTGCAATCCCTCCTGTTACAGTCGGCCCCCTCCTCCTACTCTGCAGTCTGACCCTACTGTCCCACACCAGACCTGAGGCTGGTTCTAGAGGACACTATCATTCCTTGTCTTTGGGTCCAGCTGCCCCTTTCTCCAGGTCATTGAGGATTCAATGGTTACTCTCTCTTTAGTTCTCAGGGTATCTGCCCTGTACCCAAATGTTTCTGGAGAAGAAGTTAACTTCTTTCTAGATCTGAGACCCTATCTTCCAGTTACCATTTAAGTTTTTTTGGAAATTCTCTTTTGACCTAACTCCTACTCATGCTGCTACAATGGAAATTTCATTTAGTGAGGGTCAGAGCCTGACCTTACCAGATTTGAAAAGGACGGAATCCCCGAACCCAGAGAGACAGACAAGAATAGATTGCTTCCCTCTGTACTGTGGATGAGACCAGACTGTGCTACGTGAAACACGGTGGGGCTCAAAGGACGAAGGGCACAACTGCCCTGGCCCAGCCGCTACCAACCCCTTTCTTCTCTCTCAGAGTTTCCCGTCTTCTGGAGAAGTCCTGCCTTCTTTCCTGCCTCTGTACTGGATGGCAGAGACCCAGGTGTCCAGTCCCACCTGGGTTTAATTTCTATGTGACTTCCAGCCAACAAACCCTCTGACCCAGCAGATGCAATAACACTGCTCAGGGTGAGGCTCTTCTACAAGTGCTGAATTTGGCCAGAGAATTTCCTTGGTCCCAGTTGGGGGTGACCATGAGGGTTCATGACTCTCCTATTCTCCTCAACGCATCAACCCTTCCCACCCCAGATAGTGGTTGGGCTGGGTGGTCTCTCCTCCCCATCCAGCCTGGGAGGGAGTGATAAAGAGGTGTGTGTTTGTGTGTGTGTTTGGGGGTGTGTGTCTCTTCTTCCCAAGCCCTCTGGAACTCTTCAATTGTGCAAAAATCCACACTCATTCATACTTCCTCACCGTCTAGAAACCCATCTCCATTCCTTCTGGTGCAAAACCACCACTTTCCTCTTAGCCACGCTGCAGTAGGAAGAAAGCCTCAGAATGTTCCTTTCCTAACACTCTGGAGCCTCAGACGGTTTCCTCTCCATTCCACCCCCAATCCTGCTTCAGTTCCCTCAGCTTCTCTGACCAACTTTGTGCCCTGCCCCCACCAGAATGTCCAAATTCCTGGGAGAGCCCAGAGAGAGGTGTGACCAAGGTTCCTAGGGAGGGGGAAGGGGTCGCCCTGGGCAGATCTGCAGCACATTTGGTCATAATTAAAAGGCCAGCGACACTAGGAAATTCCTTCTCCTTATTGATCCCAGCGGGAAATTAAAGCCAGTTGTTTGCAACTGAGTGGCGGATGCTTGGCTGAAGCTCCTCCCCATCACCTGGTTCCAGGGGCCCAGCCCCTGCCCCTGCCCCTTGCCCTTAGGCTCTCCCATCCTCCTCTGCCCCCCAATCCAGCCCTCTCATTTTTCCCCTCCCAATGTTGTGTCCTAACTCCCTTCCCCAGCATCTTCCCTGAGCCCACCCCCACCCCCACTTCATGCTGTCTGCTCCCCAGGTTAACAGGGCTGCTGGAGACAGAGCCTTCCAGCCCCAGCTGTTCAGCACACTGCTCAAGACTCTTATCCACCTCCCTCCGCCAGGGTTGGGGTGTCGGGCCAGCCAGGAGCTCTCAGGCTCAGAGCTGCCAAACCGCAAACACTCATAACTGGAAAGAATTCCCCTCCCAGCCCGACTTCCCTTTGTCTTACTTCTGTCTCTTTGGAAATTCTGGCCTGCTGGCCAGTGGGGGAAGTGAAGGGAGGGGAGTGGGTCCAGGCCTCCCACCCCCAACCTTCCCTGGCTCCCGTTTCCTCAGATCCACATTCCCGAGTCTCCTTCCCTCTGTTCTAGTGTCAAGGGGCCCTCCACATCCCTCCTACAGGCTCCTGGAGGTTTAGGCTCCCTCATCCTTGTGACCATCTTTTGGGTGATGACCATCATCCTTAGTCACAAAGCTTGTGAGGGAGACAGCCTGAACAGGCTCTTTTCTTTCGCAGTAAGAGGGATGCTTATTGAGCGGAAGACTGGGCTTTTCTGTCTGGAGGCTCAAGAGGGCTGGAGTGGAGTAAAGATGGGCATGATGCCCTGGGTGGGAGAGGCACAAGGCAGTGAGGGGGAAAGGAGGGACAGTAGGAGTCTGGTTTCTGCCACGTTCCCTCCCCCAGTCTCTCTTCATTCCTTTGGCTAGGAGCCTGACTTCACTGTCTAAACCTAATCCCCCTCCTCCCTTTACCTACAGCACTGCAGACCCGCTGGGAGGGTGGGGGAGGAGCCCAGGTGGTGCTTGCAACCCTATGCCCCAAGCACTCCCCCCAGGGGCTCCTCTTTCTTCCCCCACCTCTGCCTTTGTCTGTCCTTCCTCCAAAAACTCAACTTGCTGCCATTTTACTTCCAGAAGCCCAGGCCTTCCACACCCCTCAAATAAACTCTCCCACGGAAAACTTGGACCTCAAACCAAGCTGAAGCATTCAACTCCCTTCTTCAAGCTAGACAATTTATTGGCTACTTTAGGGTGGAGCCCCACCAAGCTCTTTCTACAATCTAACCCCTATCCTTTCTGATGCAGAGTCAGCCTAGCTGCTTTATTTTTTCTACACCATTATTCATGGATTTCCCCCTTTACAACCTAGAGCTCTGACTGAAGACCTGTCCAGTCTTCAGTCCTCAATACTGAGATCAAATTCCCCAGTCCCTCTCTTTTGGCTTCTTTTCTCAGGGGTCCTCCTCAACTCCTGCCAAGTCCCAGACTTGACCGTTCTCAGTCTCTAAAAGTAAAGGCCCAGAGATCTCCGAAGCCCGTGGTCTGCTCCACCCCTGGCCACGCTGGCAGGGAGGGGCCAGGGCGGAGAACTAGGACTAGGACCAGATGCGGCGTTCTCTGTCCCGGCCTCGGAAGGAACTGGGAGAAGGGAGTCCGGGAGGTGTTTCGAAAAGCGGGGCCACATGCGCCCATTTGCCGAGGGCAACCGGGTGGAGGTGATTCTCTGCGTGGGACAGGACGGGAGGCTATGCCCGCTCGGGACACTGATTCCCCTCGGCTCCGCGCCTTTGCAGTTTTTATTCTTGAGTCTCCGGGCCTGCTTTCGAGCCCACCGCCTGACCTTCATTTTCTGTTTTTGTCTCCCGGTCCTCGCCATCAGGGTCTCTCCCACTCGTCTCTCCCACTCGCACTTGGGCTCCGTCGGGAACTGTACCCTCCCCCCTCCTTTGATCTCCAGCATCAAAGCCGCTCCCAGAGCCGCTCCTTCCGCCCATTTTAGTGCTCAGGAAGGTGACACCTGAGACCCTGCCCCGCCCCCTCTCCAGGCACCTAGCCTCCCTCCAACCTAGCTGGCAGCGCGGCGCTCCAGAGCTCCCCACCTTTGTCCCCACCTCCCGTCCCCGCCGCCTGCCGCGACCCCCTCAGGGCTCTGGCTAGCGAAGCGACGCGGAAAGCGCCTTAATAAAGAGCTCGCGTCGAGTGATTGGCTGTGACCTCTGCCCTCCTCCAGCCTCGAGCCCCAGGCTCTTGATTAACCCCTCGATGCCCGTTCAGCGAATTAAGCATGAGTCACACTGCTCGAATTTCCAGCATCCCCAGGAGCAACCCCCGCCCAAAGCAGCGTAGGGTTAGGGTAAGAGAGGGGTGAGAGAAAGACACTATGTCGCCCCCTCCCAACCCTTCGAGTCTTTCCAGCAGGGGGCGCCGTTGCCTCACCAGGTGACTAGACCCAGGCACCCCAGAGCACCCCAGTCTTTCTCTGAGCTCCGAGCAGGCCCACTAGATCCAGTTCAGGCTTCGATGGAACCGAAATTCGACTAAGTGTTCCCCAGTGCCAGCTCGCGAAACAGGATTTTGCTTGCTCGCCCGCTGATGGGGATCACTGGATATTTGGCGCCAAGGGGTCGAGTGCACCAAGTCAGATTGCGAAGTGGTGAGGAACAGGCGAAATGTGTGCCTGCGGCCTGGGCTGCTGGACGTGAGACCCAGACGCAAATGCCCGGGTCCCGGCGCCTCCCTCCCCTTGGACAATCCAAGTGCTCGCGTTCCGTCTGCCTCCCTATCCCATCCACTCAACCATTGGCGCTGCGATCTAGGGTACACCTAGGGGGCTACATCAAGAGACCAGGAAAAACCAGTGCCCTTGAATCGACTCCGACTCATAGCGACCCTATAGAACTGCCCCATAGGGTTTCCAAGGCTGTAAATCTTTATGGAAGCAGATTGCCTCATCAATCCTGCAGAGAGGCTATTGGGTTCGACTGCAGACCTTTTGGTCAGCAGCCGAATGCATTAACCACTGAGCAACCTGAGGTCCTCCAGAGGCCTGGAGGGAGGTAGTTACGCAGGGCTGGGGCGCAGGCCCCCACCCCCCAGGTGGGGTGGGGGCGGGACGGGAGGCGGGGTCACCTCATTCCTGGACAGGGGCGGGTCCGGAGTTAAGTATAAAAGCTGCCCGCGCTGGCGCTAAAGATAGCTTTGGGTTGTCCTGGGTCTTTCGCTAATTCGAGAGTCTTGCAACCCCGCGAAGGAGGCAAAATCTCTCGCTCTCTCTGTCTCTACTAGAGGACTCAGCGTCCAGTGCTCCAGCCAGCTAAAGGACCTCGGAGGACCGACATTCGCGCCGCCACCATGCCCAACTTCTCTGGCAATTGGAAGATCATCCGGTCGGAAAACTTCGAGGATTTGCTCAAAGCGTTGGGTAAGGAGGTTTTCGAGAGCCCGGGAAGGGCAAGAGGGGCCCCCGGAATCCTCAGAGGTGGGAAGTGAGAAAGAATGGGGGTTCAGATCCGGAGGGAGTTGGAGTGCGGGCGCGGGAGTCTGGGCGCCTGCATCCCTAGGAAAATGAGCTGGACCCTTGGGTCCGGGGATGTTGGGCCTGGATGCCTAAATCCTGCTTTCACCGGCGGGGCCCCCACGAGTGCCAAGTTCCTGAGGTGACTCAGAGCCTGTGAATCAAGTAGAAACCAGAAACATGAGTTCGGTTTCCCTAGGCGTTGGGGGGGGGGGGGCTGTTGGTTAGTTTTGGCGCCTTGGCCTGGCTGATCAGGGCACCTGGCTCTCCAAAGTTCAGAAGTTGTCGATTGGAAGAGCAGCAAACTATGCATCCAGGCTTAGAGCCCGAGTCCCTACCCAACCAAGCCACTCAGAGACATTCCATCCTCCTTCCCCGTGTCCCCCCCTCCCCTCCTAACCCAATCCCCCAGAAAGGTTCTGTACCCCTTTGCATCCATCCACCCACCTGGTGATCCCATCCCTCCACCTCTTTCGACTTTTTCTACTTTGCCTACCCCTCCCCCCACCACCACTCTGTGAAACAAGTATTTTCCAAAAGCCAACAACTCCAGAGTCCTAAAATCACTCTGGATAATTATCACTTTCTTGGATTTCAGCAAATGGCTTCGTGTGAAACCCCAGCTCCCCATTTCCGAAAATCCCAGTTCCCTCCTCTCTCTCTCTCTCTCTCTCTGGAGACTGGGCCCCTGCCCAGCTGGATGCAATGGTCTGAGGTGATAGAAACTGAACCCTCCCAGTCTGCTCTTCCAGCCTTCCAGGTTCTTGGGGGGTGGGGTGGCTGGAGGGTCTGGGGAGGGGGAGAGAACCAGGGCTCTGTGACTAGGGAGATTGCTCAGGGAGAAGATGGTTAGACTGTATTCAGCAATTGGGAGGGGGACCTGGGAGCCAAAGGGTCACCTAGGATCCTTGCCATGGCATTATTTTCTGTACTGTACAGAGAAACCCTGGCTGGGTTGGAGGAGCACCCTGTATGGGGCAAAGAGTTGTAGAAGTTCATTTCGACTGAGGAAGGGTCTGGAAACACTAGAGAGAGCAGCGATTTCCATTGTTCCCTGAGTTGGATTCTTCCTGCCATCTAACCACAATATTTATTGCCATCATCCATCATAACAGCCCTTGCTGTGCCCTTTCTGAAATTAAAGACCAAAGGATAGAAATTTTCCCTTCAGACAGCCTGGATGCCACTCCCTCTCCCCTATCTTCTCTGGATTCTGGCTCTCCCCCTGGTTCTAGTGGATAGGGGGAATGGCCTGGAAGAATAAGATTCAAAACCTAACTGACTGTCTGTCTTCAGTCTGTTTGTCCTCCCTGCAGGGTCCCTCAGAGCCACGTGCCCTCCTCAGGCCCTGCTGGGGGAACAGATTGAAAACAGATCAGTTAGACAAACACAGTCCTGAGTCAGCCAAGGTCAGCTGAGCCAGCCCCCAGCTGCACAGGCACCAGGGGCAGGCTGGAGGGATGTCCCCCTCTGACTCCAGCCTTGCCTCTGCAGGAACCTCATCCCTTCTCATTCCCATTTGCCCTGTGGGAGGGCCCTTCTGACAAGGGATGCTCAGGTATTTGGGGAATACCTATCTCATCCAGTGGGGCTTGTGGCACATAAAGGATTCTGCTCCCACAACAGGAATGATGGATGTTAGTAGCAGAGTGAAGTAGTCCCTTTGCCCAAGAAAACGGGAATGGGATGTGTCTCCTCTACCAGATCAAATGGGCCTGGGCACCTGAACTGCTTTTCCCTGGGCCCAAGAGATCAACAGCCAAGAGGTGGGATTCTGAGGTCTCCTGCAAGGGCAGGGCTCTTCCCTCTCTCTTGTGTCTGAAATAGGGAGAGTCTGCTTTGATGCTGAGGAGGAAGAGGACTGGTGTTGCTCTAGGAACCCAGCTCTGGAGGAGGACCAAGTGTGGGCCCAGCTAGGGCCAAGGAATCTGGGCCAGATCAGGGACAGAGGAATCCGGTTTGCCTGGCCTAGCCAAGCTTGGCCCTCTTCTACCCACCTGTTGCTTCCCTGAAAGGTTCTACTCCAGTTCAGGGCAGAAAGCTAGGTGAGGGAGGTGAATTGAGCTTAGGACTGGGCCTGGCCCAGAAGTGCCCCCATACCTGCTGATTTTCCTGTCACAGGGTCTCTCTCCTGTCTCTCCCACCTCTCTTCATAAATAGGAAACACAGAAAGGAGTTCCAATTTGGGGGAAGGCATGGGGGGGCGATGCACAGGAACTCTGAATCTACAGAGAGTGAATGAGAAGGCTTGACCCACCTGAGGTGGGTTGGGTGATCCTGGAGTGGGGTGGAGGGGTGGTGTCCCTTTTTCAGTCCTTTTTTTTTTTAAATTGTGATTTGAGTGAAAGTTTACAGAGCAAATTCATTTTCCATACAGCAGTTCATACACATTTTGTTTCATGACATCGCATGACAGTGTAACAGCTCTCTTCCCACGTCCTCCCTATAGTTAACTCTTCTCTGTGTCCTTTTTTCCTATGCATTCTTGCCCTCTAAGCTATCTCCCTATGCAAATTCTGCCCTTCTGTTCCCTCAGGATTGAATGTTCTAAGGAGGGTATCTACCTAATGTAAGTGTTCACCCTATATGCCTGTCTATTGTTTGTCTGGAAGCCATGGGAATGAGTTCAATTCTGAAGGGTAACTAGGGGCCATAGTCTCGGGGATCTCACCAAGCTCTGTCAGACCTGTAAACCTTTTTTTTTTTTTAAATGATTTTGAGTTTTCTTCCACATTGTTCTCCCACTCTATCCAGGATCTCCTGCACTGATCCCTTTCCAAGTGGTTGACTGTGATAGCCGAGCGCCATCTAGTTCTTCTAGTCTTATGGTCATATAGGTCTGTCCTTTCTTTGGGGCATGTTCTGGTTCCCTAGTGCTGCTCTGACAAGAATATACCACAAATGGGATGGCTGTAACAAACAGGAGTTTATTTACAATTTGGAGGCTTTAAGTCCAAGTTCAAAGTGCTAGGCTCTAGGGGCTGGGTGAAAGCCCCTCAACCTTGGGGTCCAGCTCTGCCTCCTGCTCCCAGCCACTGGAGCTAGAGGCATTTCTTCACTCAGATAGCTGTTGGCTGCTGAGGCTGAGAAGCCCAAAGTTGACAAGTAAAAAGGCACAGTCCCGATATTACTAAACTACATGGCAGGCCATTAACTTAAGTCCGTTGTAAGTCCCAAGGTCGGCAGAGCATGGCAGGCTGCTCAACAAAGACACAACTACATGCAGGGTCCAAGCGTGCCATAGGCTAGAGACTGTTCCCAAGCCTTCTCCTTAAATTCAGGAAGCAGACCACATTCCCAAAGGCAGCTACTCAGCTGCTTGTGGTAGATCCTACCATGGACCTGATTGCCAGTCTCATTATAGGGAATAACTACCACCAGCTGCCCAGCCACTCAACCAGGCCCAGCAAAGTTGACACACAAATGTAACTACCACAGGGCAGGAGAGAGTTCCCTTAAGGGAAGAAGGGCATGGGAGCCCTCCAGGAGGGCAGGTGAGCAGGAAGTTGATTGCAGGGATCTTTCGGTCTGGTTCTGACTTTCTCTTTCCCTTCCCTTTTATCAGTAAAAGTAATAGTAACAATAACAAGAGCTACTGTGCCCCAAGAACCTAAAGGTGTACCTAGCACATCCTAAATACACATCATGCCATTTGTTAAGCTTTTGAGGAGGCTATTATTTCATTTTTCACTTGAAGAAATTAAGGCTCAGAGAGGTTAAACTTTTGCCTAGGGTAACCCAGCTGGTATGGGGGTGCTGAGCCAGGTGGGAATCATAGTCTAATGGATCTGATTCCAGAGCCTCTGGCTTTCCAGGCTGCTGGCCAGTCTATAGAGGGAAACAACTGCTCCATATCTTCACCTGCTGAGAATTCCTGCTCTACTACTAACCTAAAGATTGGCAGTTTGAACCACCCAGTGATGCCAACGAAAGGTCTGGCAATCTGCTTCCATAAAGATTACAGTCAAGAAAACTTTGTGGAACAACTTCACTCTCTAACATATGAGGTCACTATGAGTTGTAATTGACTCAACAGCAATGGATTTGGTTTTATTTTTTTCTCATTTTTAGGAGGGCGGAAATGGAGCAAACAAAGGCCTTCCTAGCTCCTGATGGGGGTAGATAGAGCAGAGGGAAGTGGCTCCTACTTCCTAGTTCATCAGTGGAGCCTTGTTAGGAAAGGTCCACTCTGTACTTGGGCAGGGGTGAAGTCACAGTCCCAGATGAGGTCCCCTCAGCAGAGGGTCTCAAGCCAGGGTGGACATGGACTAGAAGTGAGGTGAACAGAGAGCCAAGGTAAGGTTGGCAGTAGAATGCTTGCTGGATGAGCGGCACAGAGAAGAGCTGCCCCAGAGAACTGTGTAAGAGGTGAGACTTAGGAAGCCCATTCAGGCCTTCTGACCACTAAAGGCAGGGTACTGGGCTGCACCTCCTGCTGCTTCTGCCAAACTACCTTCCTGGACACCCAGTCAGACTCCCTCTTTCCACCAGCTACTCACAGCACAGCCTGCTCCAGCTGTCCCATGAGGGAGATATGAGACAGATGCCTGGAGCACCCCAAAAGGTGAGCCTCTCCTCTTTGCAGGGGTGAATGTGATGCTGAGAAAGATCGCCGTGGCTGCAGCATCCAAGCCAGCAGTGGAGATCAGACAAGAGGGAGAGACTTTCTATATCAAGACCTCTACCACCGTGCGTACCACTGAGATTAACTTCAAGGTTGGGGAAGAGTTTGAGGAGCAGACTGTGGATGGGAGACCCTGTAAGGTGAGTACCGGGAAGGGGTCCTCGGGATCATGGCATCTATTGCCCTCCTTCTCAACACACCAGTTCCCAGTTTTTCCTTGAGTCTTTTCTCCATTCCCAGTGGAGGAAGTTGGCTTTTTTTTTATGCCACATGTCAGGGACCCAATGTGGGAATTCTGCCAGTTACTCAGTATATCTATTCCAATTATGCATTCTGAGACTGGGGAGATCACTACAGGATGGGTTCGGGGACCCACTGGACCCACTGTGAGACGCACCTGAGCTAAGACTCCCATCAATAACTTGACCTCCGTATGCCCCCACTCTGACTATAGGTAGTGGTGGGGTGGGGGAAATAGGTAGAAGGTCCAGCCCCTATTCCTGCTGCATTTCCTTGGTGTGGACCTAGCTCACTTGGTCACTTCTTCCTTACAGAGCCTGGTGAAGTGGGAGAGTGATAACAAACTGGTCTGTGAGCAGAGGCTTCTGAAGGGAGAGGGTCCCAAGACCTCCTGGACCAGAGAATTGACCAATGATGGAGAGCTGATCCTGGTGAGTCCTTCTTCCTTCCAACTAAGAGCAAACCCGGTCCTACCTTGGACAATTATCTGGGAGACTCGAGGGTTCAGGAGGTTCTCCTGACTGGTCTCCCTACCCTCCTGATGGGGCCACTAAAGCTGGATCAAGCTATCCTCTATAGTGCCCTGTGGGAATCAGAAATGGTGCCCCTTCTGTGTGGAGCAAAGGTGGCAACCTAACATCAGAAGATTTGGACACGGACTACTCTGTGCCTCCCGTCCTGAACAAGGGTCTGTCTTGCATGTCAGGAGGGACAAACACTGAAGGGCCCCAGCAGTTCTCCAGGAATCTTCCTGGCTTGGGGAAGATGGGGTGGGAGGGGTCTCTGGGATTCTATTGCTATCATCCCTCCATCGATGCCCAGGCACTCTGGGACCAGTTTCTGCCTATTGGTCCAGAGCCAAGAAGTAGGTTTGCACTTGGTTGCCATTCAACCCCTCTCCTCCAAAGCCACAGAACCCCAGGGGCCTCCCAGGCTCACAACTACTTCTGTCTTTCCAGACCATGACGGCAGATGACATTGTGTGCACCCGGGTCTATGTCCGAGAGTGAGTGGCCATGGGTCCAAGCTGCTCGAGTCTACCACCAGCTCATGCTCACCACCCTGCTCCCACTGCCTCCTACTCCCTCCTTCTAGGCTAGTGCTCCCCTCACCCTGGCACTTCTAGGGGTTCCTGGCATGCCTCTTGTGGGGTCTCTGCTTTCTTTGACCCCTTTTCCCATTCCCATACCACCAAAGAGGGATGGATTGCAAGAGCCCAGATCACCCACTCTGGAATCACTCTCCCTTCCCCAAGTCAGCAATCCTAGCCCAAAACTACCCCAAAGTATGGTCCCCTTTCTCTCTCTCTGAAGGTACCTAAGGACCAGAGTTAGCAAGATTGGCCCTCTGGCTTCTGCTCTTTGTCCCTGTAGTCTATATAGTTTAGAATATTTATTTGTTAACTTTATTAAAATGTTTTAAAAAATAAACTGGTTTGGTTCAGTGGGAAAGGGGTAGAAAAGTTGTCCAAGTTCAGCTTTGGTTTTGAAATGTGTGGGGAAGAGGTGAGGTTTCAGCAGAATGGATTTGGGTTATCCAGGAGGGAGAGAACAATCCTTCCCTTCACCCTTCTAATCACCACCTCTTCATTCACTGCTGAACCCACAAGCATCACCTCTACTTCCTTTCCTCCAGCCTGTGGTCCCCTACTCTGCCTTCTAAGGTCACTGGAGCCTCCTCCTGGCCTCCTGCAGGGGCCCTGAGAAGTTGACCACCACCATCTATCTCTTCCTATGCTTTCCCTGATAGGACACAGCTTTCTGTTCCTCCTCCAATTGTTCCTTCTCTCTTCTCCAGTCCTAATCTGTGGGCAGCCCCAGGCCTGGCCTTAGTCTCCCACATGGTTCCCAGATGAGCTCATACACACCCACAAGCTGGCCCTTGCTCCTGCCCAGGTCTTTTGGTGAGAGGAAGGTCTCATCCTGCCTGTCAGCTCTCAGTGTCTGAGATAAGGCCATCTCTGTTACTGTCCTTCCTCCTTGCCTTGATATATTCCACACACACCTTCTGCCCTTGGCTCCGAGACCTTCCAGGTCCCTTGAATCCCCCCACCCAGTAGGTCTGGTGATCTATTTCCACACTCATGTCTAACTAAGTCTCCTCAAATTCCTTCATGATCTCTCTCGAGCCCTTCCTCCTCTCCCTCCCCAGGCTACTGCCCTAGATCAGGACATCCTCATTGCTTACCTGGTTTGCTTGCCCAGCTCTCTCCACTATCATGGCATGATCGATTAAGATAAGCACAGGTGTTAGAATTAATAAGAGGAGTTCAAATCCTGCTGCTGCCATTTACTAAGTATGTGACCTTGGACAAGTTACTTAGTTTCTGAGTCTCAGTTATTGGGTTTTTTAAACAAAATATAGTTGAATGGCTTATGTACTGGGAAGTTTCAGCTGGGTCTAGCTTTAGATGTGACTAGATCCAGGGCCTCCAACAAGGTCATCACCTTCTCCTCCATTCATCCTGCTCATTTATGTTTCTTTTGTGCATTGACCATGTTCAATCTTGTCATAAAGTTTTCTCCAAGTCATGGGAAATTGGCTTCTGACATCCCAAGCTTATATGGTTAAAGCTTGAGATCCAAGAAAGAGGAAGTCTCTCCCAGGGTCATATCTTCAACCTCCCAGAAGAACTCAATTTGGTCCTGCTTGGATCATACAACCAAGCAGATTGTGTGACTAGCTGCAGTTGGCAAGGAAAGGGGCCCAGTGATTGGCCAGGCCTGGGCCTCATGCCACATCTATGGCCAAGGAACAGGTGGAACATTGTAATACTATGATTGACAAACCCACCAGAATTCCATGAGATGGAAAGGAGCAGTTTTTCAATGAAGAGGGGTACTACGGGTCATTCTTTTCTAATATATAGAATGGCAATTATAATACCTACCTCACAAGTAGTTGTCAGCTGCCATTGAGTTGGCCCATAGCTCATGACAAGCCCACACACAACAGAATGAAACATTGCCTGGTCCAGTGCTACCCCCACGATTGATTGAAGATCAGACGACTGTGCTCCATAGGGTTTTCATTGGCTGATTGTCAGACGTAGATGGCCAGACCTTTCTTCCTAGCCCATCTTAGTCTAGAAGCTCTGCTGGAACTTGTCCACCATCATACTACATGGTAGCTGTGCATGAGGTCCATTGGCCAGAAATCAAAAAGTCCAAACTGGTAGTAGAGGCCTTTCAAAATGTGGCTCCCCACCCTTCACTGTGCACTCTCCTGCAGGTGGGCCTCTGCTTGAGCCCCTCCTGGATGGCTTGGGCCCTCTCAACCCATTGGCACCAGCTCTTCTCAAAACCTGGCTCCTCATAGCCTGCGGCAGCCTCTCCCTCCACCAGTGCTGACAGCCATTGGTCACGCTCCACAGCCTCTGTGGTGTGGCAGAGGTGTCTCCTCTCCCTGCTAGACCAAGTGCCCTGAGGCCAGGCTTGAGCCTCACTCCTGCCCCATGAGAGGCCACAGGCTGCATCCAGGGTGTGCCAGGGAGTGGGGAGAGGAGTCCAGAGCTCTTAGCAAAGCAAGTCCCCTCTCAGACTGTGGGGTGAGGGAGGTGGCATCTTTATTTGCTCATCCAACAATTCTTTCTGAAGAGTCTCCAAGGGGCCCTGGTGGTGCAGTGGTTAAGCACTTAGCTGCTAACTGATAGATTGGTGGTTGGAACTCACCAGCCATTCCATGGGAGAAAGATGTGGCAGTCTGCTTCCGTAAAGATTACAGCTTTGAAAACTCTATGGGGCAGTTCTGTTCTGTCCTACAGGGTAACTGAGAGTCAGAATCAACTCAAGAGCAGGCTTCCAAGGAGCCTGGCACCTCTCTAGGTGCTAAGAATACAACGATAAATAAAATGGACAAGATTCCTGCCCTCAATGGGGCCTGTGGGGGAAAGAGACCTTTAGTACAGAAAGATAAACGATTAAAAATGAATTGATGAATACCATTTGACCCAGCCATCCCATTACTAGGTATATACCCTAAAGAAGTGAGAGCCATAACAAGAACAGATATATGCACGCCGATGTTCATCGCAGCA